TTCGGCAATTTTACTAGAATTTGTTTCTCTGTGTAGGGCTAATATTCACCTTTTACTCAAATTGTAGTTTATGCTTTTAAATTCAAATGATAAAAATTATTTCTGGTGTATTAGCAATAGAGAGCATGTTATTTGCATTCAAGTTCTAGTGGTAACTTTGAAAAATATTTTTGACTTCACTAAAGTTTTTCCAAATGGGTTATTCGAACGGTATTTTTTCTTTCAGCAAGTTGGGCAAAATTATAAGACAAACGTAGAAAATAAGACAACTCGCGATCTATTTCTGACAGTTACAAGAAAAATATTTTTTCTATATACAATTAAATTATACCTATCTTGCTTCTCAATCTGATTTGTTATGTAATTTACTGATCAAAGATCCGCAATATACGCTAATGACTTTCTGTTAAGTAAAGACTTAGCATAATTATTATATTATAGAATGGAATTACATAATTTCTGCTAAATCCTTACCATAAAAAAAAAGGGGAAATTTTCCAAATAAATGGTTTAAATACCGTATTTCGTTTGTTTTAGTAACCAGTCATTACCATACCGTACGGTAATTTTACAAGAATTCGTATCTTAGTATCGGTGAATTTTTAAAAATTCTACGTATGTTTTTGTGAATAAGTTAAATTGCGAACCTGATTTTGAGAAAATCACAAAACCTGTGGTATGTTTGCACTTTTTGTAAGAGGTCAGTCTTTGTGAAACATCTACTAATAATTTCTACTTATAATGAATATGGTTCTGTTTTTATAAAAATAAAAAAAAAAGCAAAAACCAGGTCCCTCAAGGAGTTTTAGTTATAAGATTAGGAATTAAGGATGTTATTGAATCCCTTTTTCAAAAGGAAAGTTTTGTGATGGGTCCGTTTTTGTAACAAAATATTTTTGTGAAAGGTCCATTTTTGTAACAAAATACTTTGCGAAATGTCCGTTTTCGTGATAAAATATTTCATGAAGGATCCGCTTTTTCAATAAAATCGTATTTAAAAGATCCGCGCAATAACAAAAGAAAAAAGAAATGAAAAAAAAATGAAAAAAAAAAAAAGAAAAACTCTCCGTTAACGTACCTAAATTTTCTCCTAAAAGAACTCTTATCAATATACTTATCATTAACTAACCACCATCGCTGCGACGATGCATTTTAAATCGACGGTATATTTTTAAAAAACAGATCGAACTTTTGATTACATTTTAATTATATTATCACTCGAAATTTCAACACAGTACAACATTTCAATATATCGATATATTTACATATATTATTGAAATTTAACTAAATTAAGCGTGGCGGTTTTATTTAACTTTGACATTAAATAATATGTATTATACTCTTGCAGAAAACCTTTTTAAAATTTTTTTGAAAATCAATCAAAAAGCAAAGATTTTTTTTTTTTTTTTAATTTCAACAGTCGAGGCTGCAATAAAAAATTTAATTTATTCTCGAAAAATAAAAAATATATATTTAATCTTTAGATATTCTATTTCTTTGAAGAAAAAACTAAAACTTTAAATAAATTCATAATGTAATCAAAAGAAATTGTGAATCATTCCAACTCCAAAACAGCGAAGCTAAAATATATTAAACTTACAAACAAAATATTTAAATTTTCTAAACAATGAAAGCGATATCCCTTTAAAAAAATAGTCCGACATCAAAAAAAAGCGGAAAAAATAGCAGCGAAGATTTAAACATCGGAAGAAAATGTTTAAGCGAACTTTTCTTGCAAACTTCTCTTGCGACGACTTCTTTTTTTAATTCTTTACCTTTAAAAAAAAACACACATTTTTTTCCATTAAATATTTAAGCAAAAAGGGAAAAAAGATGGAAGGGGGAAAAAACGCAATTTCGTGCATCATTTAACACTTCTTCAAGTGACGCAATTTTTCCGTATCCGTTAAATATTTTTTTTCCCCCTCAAATTTCTTATTTTTACGTACCAATGGTTGAATGCCTTTGGAATGCATAGTGCCGATCGGGAAAAAAAAGAAGTTTAGACCGGGATAACTTAAACTAACAGAAAAAGTTTCTAAGGTACTTAAATTTCTTCAAGTAACTAGTTTATTTTGTGGAAATTTAATACTCAAAGATCTTAAATGTTATGTATCAATAGCCCTGGTCATCATGGAGATGATTTATGGTAGGTAGCGCAATAGAAGGGTTATAAAAATGTGTTTTATTTATTAATTGTTCTAACTTCATGATTTTCCTAAAGTTATGTTTCACAATTTAGTACAACAACCAGGGATCTGTCCAGACATTTTGTCCGGTTTTCTTGAAATTGTGAAAAAATTACTCACATTCTTTCAACCAGGGTCCGCTTTTATGAATTTGTGCAAATAGGGTCCGGTTATTGCAAAAACTTTTTCAAGCAGTTTTTAAATTGTAAATAGATAAAAGATTATGCTCGGCACTGTAAAATTATAATTTAAAAAAATGAAATTCTCAAAAATAAACAGCAGTTGCTGCTTCGAAATTAGAGATGCAGCATACAAATATTTGGTATTTAGCCTATACTGCTGAACGCAGAATATTCATTTCGGACGAATATTGGAAGAATCGTCTGCCGAAGACAAAACTTAATTCGTTTACATCCATCTTTCTTGTTTTCTGCCCTGGGAAGGGTTTATTCGATTAACAAAACAATAGTGAAGATAAACAAATTTGTGAAGGGTACGATTAAAAGAAAAATCATTTCGTGAAGGGTCCGTTTTTAAGTTAAAATATTTTGTGAAGGGTCCGTTTTTATGAAAAGATATTTTGTGAAGGTTCCGTTTACGAACCCAAATTTTTTCTAAACAGACCCCTGATAACGCCAAAAAATTTATGTCAATAATATAATTAATGCCAATAAATAAACTTATGCCAATAAGTTAACTCATGTGTAAACCTACACTGTAAAAAAACTAGGTAAATCCTTAACCAGTATTTAGTGCGAAGTTTCTTATTATCCCAAAGTTTAGTGAAATGAAAGATCATTTTATTTCAGTTACACCATAAATTGTGAAGTATGATCGATAAATATTTCCGCGATACAACTGCCTGCACCAAAATTTGAGAGACACAAAACTGTGACGGTGACTGTAAACTAAACGATATTTGTTTACGACGCCATGTTTTCTTTACGATTCGATCTCGGTGTATCGGGACGACTAATGCATGTTGTTTCAAGTTTCTACTTATTTAGTTAGATAAATGGTTTGAATTAAAGTTCATTTCTTTTTTATGTTGCCTTTTTAAATTTGCTTGGCTGTATAAAATGGTAAGAGGTATGTCATAAAATAACTTTTTACGTTAAATAGTTCTATTACGGTAAATAGTTATACCGGCATTTGAGAGCTTTAAATATACCTAATAATGGTGTAAACTTCCTCTAATTTTATGAAGAAGAAAAAAAGAATGAAAATATGTGTTTTTCTTCAAAACACGTACTTTTGGTGCAAGCTTCTACTGATATTTGGAGCTAGTAAATATAAAAAAATATGATAAATTTGAGCTCCATTTTATGTAGCCAGCAAATGCATATTAATGTTTGGTGCAACGTGGCTCAGAATTTTTAACAGTGTAGGCCGATAGGCTGATATAAAATATAATACGTTAACTTATGTCCGCATAGTTTCAAAGATGAAACTCTCACTTTTGACGATTCAGCTGTCATTGAGGTATAGTTTGTTAATTTTAAGAATCATTTCGTCACGAAATCACGTGATTTGTGACGAAACGCGAAATCCATATATATTAAGAAAATGTTTCTTTAACTCGCTATCTCATCGTAATGTGTTTTGTGAGACATTAACTATAATGACGAAACTAGAATTAAGTCTAGATCATCGAAAATAAATTGACGATTGAGTCGACTGGCCAGCATGCGTCAAGGAGTTAACCTCGTGCCAGGAAGATCTGAGGTTCGAATCTCGTTTTGGGGCGCATGTGTAACTTATCTCTATGTTCTATATGTCCTTGCGTTGTTGGGGCGAAATTGATCCACCTAAAAGGTGCCCACGATAAAGTAATTATGTGAAATATTAGGCATTACGAGATTTTTTTTTCTTTGGAAAAAAAAATAGAATGTGAAAATTTCTTTAATTTTGACGAAATTCGCTTCCTTGAAAAAGTGACGATAGTTATTTCGACACATTGACGAAATATTTACTCGAAGCATTTTCCAGGAAACGGTTTCATCAAAAAAAAAAAAGTTCCGTGGCATTTGAGAATTTATTTTTTACAGGGCATGTTAACTTATGCAAACATGCTGATATATGACTAAAAGTCAACTTTTGCCAATAGGTTAACATATGCCAATAGGTTAACTTACGTCACAGTAAACTATTCGAATAATTATAGAATCAATGATTTGATATTCAACTCAATCTACTATTTTCATACATTTTTTCGTTTTATTAAGTCATGCATATTTTTAAATCTCTTTTGATAATTTTGTTCGGATCCGCAAGTTTACCTTTTTTTTTCCTAACAATATTCGTAGCTTGTTGAGTACGTGGTATTAAAATATAATAATAATTGTATGACTTTGAATGTACACAAATAAAAACCTACGATACTGTTAAAGTTATATCTATGCAGCTTCGACTATGTTTTAGTGTAGAGAGATATAAATGCATTAAAAAAAAACATATTCAAAATTTCCATAGTGTATTAAAGTAAAAATATAAAAACTCTTACTAAATAATATCCTTATATCATTGGTGCGTAATATGATGAAGAAAAAAAAACTTTTAGCTTTGGGTACATACTAAGGAAATATTACATAAAACCATACAAAATTTTTTTCTAGTAATTTTGTATGTGAAAAGAAACCTTATAGAAATCAGAAGGAAAAAAAATTTCACTTCTAAATGCTTACTATCGTAAAAACATAAAAATAATAATAATAATAGTAATAGTAATAATAGTATGATTATAGCTTTGGTACGTATTGGTGTAAAAACATGCAAAATCATAAAATAAAAATAACAGCATGCAGTATTTACCATAAGGGTCGATGAGCGATCTTTCCAATTCAACGGGGTCTAGAAATCTGTGAGTAGCTGCAAATTAAATATAGCCAACTACAGCAAACAAAAATTTTACAACGAAAACAAAAAATTAAAATCAAACAAAAATATAAAATTAAAATAAACATAAATAAAAATAATAATAAAATAATAACAAAAATGCATAACTAAAAACCATTGAATCTCTATAAAACAATGCCGAAAGTGTGCTTGTTTTGAAGCAGCTGGAAATATAGGCAACTACAGCAAACAAAAATTTTACAACGAAAACAAAAAATCAAAATCAAATAAAATATTAAATTAAAATAAACATAAATAAAAATAATAATAAAATAATAACAAAAATGTATAACTAAAAACCATTGAATCTCTATAAAACAATGCCGAAAGTGTATTAGATTTGAAGCCGTTGGCATTTTCAGCGAAGAAATGCATGGTAAAGCAAAATATTAGAAATAAAAGGGCCGGGATAGCCTGTTTGGTAGAAGTTGGGTCCATGTCCAAGAGGTCGTGAGTTCAATAACCGCCGGCCGAAGTCTCCCCGTGTAGTAACTGACAACTGGTGCACGTGAAATCTGTCGAGTAACGAAGTCCTCCAAGTTTCCATAACAAATCAATACCTGTGGGGTTCTGAATTGGAGATTGATTGATCTCTGGTTCTGGTCAAAATTACGTTCGGTGGATGAATGAATGGATCTATGAATGGGTCCTCCCTTTAAAACGGACCGTGACGTGTGTGTCTGAAGACATATTCTTGGCCATAAATGGCGTCTCTAAAGGACAGGAAAAGCACCCTCTGCCTTAAGTTCGCTTGGATTCACCAAAAAAGGGTTGCTGGTTAATCGGCAAGTGGTCTTAGGAACAACAACATTGACTATAAACTAGATGCAAATACAAATAAATGTCTGAGTTGAAAAAGAAAAAAATAACTTTAAAAATAGAGAGTAAGAAAATTAATTGTAAAACAAAAGATGTAAGTTTTATGAGGAAATCATTTAGACTGGCGATACTTTAATAAAGTACTATTTTACGTCTGAGTAGGATGCTTTAGCTGAGAAACATAACGAAATGCAGCATAGGCAGATTTGGGGTTCTGTTTTCGCCTTCAAGATTGGCAACTTGAAATTGGTCCTTAACACGCCAACAACTTCATTCCATCGAGATGTATGTGCATGTGTCGAAATCGCAACAACATTATCTAGCTTGATAAAGCCGCTTAATATAAGAATTTTAAAAAAAAGGGTAAGTATCATCAAGAAGAGCGGAAAATTTAATATTGCATCAAACTACTTTCAATTTACAATAAAAATTCTTATTCTATAAAAGACATGTTGGAATTATGCGTTTAACCCTTTGACAACTATCGGGACTCATTTGTCCCAACAAATGTTTAAAAATTACTAATGGACATTAAATACGGCCGGGACACATATGTCCCAGCCTCTAAATTGATAACTGCTAGTCAGAAAAATCCCAAATACTAAATTTGCCTTATTTGTGACCTATTTTGTCCCTTTGAATAATAAACGGGACAAAAAAATCATTTTTTTTTTTAAATTCGCAAAGGGTTAACAACACATTTGATAAATTGTCACTGTGAGGTGTCTTTTTGTGTTCGAAGTTTTGCAGTTTCTTCAACATAATCTTCTAATTTTTGCATTTTTCAGCGTTTACGATAATCTGCAAAAATTAATTTTATATTTTAAAATTACTTTAAAACTAAAATTTTTATAGACAAAAAGCTTTTAAAATGAAAAAAAAAAATTGCGATCATTTTCACGAAAAAGCGCAAGATTATTATTATTATTAATGAAGTAAATCATAACAGCTTTAAAATACAAAATTTGCTTGCAATAGTTTTCAAAAATAAATTTTGCATTCAGTTTCTACATAAAAACCATTAATATGCAAAACTTGTTTTTAGTTATTATCTAGAAAAATATTAAGATTTAAAATTTTTCTATCTTCAAAACTTTTTAAACACGAAATTTAAATATGAAATCTGCAACATAAGATTTTGCATTTTAAAAGCTTTTTAAGTCAGGATAAAAAACGTTTCGATGAAGTTAAAACATGTTGAAAACAACGAAATCTGAATTTCCGTAGATAATTATGGCGATGAGAAAATATTCATTTAGCAGTTCAGTTATACAATAAAAATCTATACACAAACAACAGGTTATAAAATACTTTTTCAATTGCAAATCAGCTATCTTATAATAGATACCAATAAAATCGAAAAATATTCGTTTTATTCTGCCGTCTAGACTACTTTACTAATATTATAAAATCATAGGTCGGTATCAAAAAGAGGAAATAAAAAATCAGCTGGTAAAAAATATGCATTTTGAAGTAATATCAACATTTAAAATAGCCAATTCTTCAGAAAAAGGGGGAAATTTCTTCCTTATTTATCGGCGCTATGAGTGGGATATAAGATTATAAATTGCCTATTGTTCTTGGCTACATTTGACACTATAACTGAAATATTCAAATCAGTGAAGAGAAATGCGCTGGAAAATAACCCTTTCGGTACAAAACACACCAGACATAAAAAATTTTTAAACTTCCGCTGCATTTTTTCCCTTATAAATAAGTATTTGTAAGCCATTAAAATTGCTTATTTATCCATATTTTATGTTCATTATCCGAATTATTGATCACTTTTAAAAAATTTTTAAGCATCCAACTTATTCGACGTTAAATAATTCCAAAAAGACATAATATCTTCATTAATTTACTTATAATTCTTTACTTTTATTTGATTTGCCACATTATATGTAGTTTTGTTTCTTTTCATTGTTAATGTTTTTTTAATTCCAAATTCATCTTCCATTCCGAAAAACAGTTGTAGAGATAAGTGGAAGAACATGCTAAATGTCAAGCTTCGCCAGTTCTTTCTATTTTGTTTTCCATATTAAAGTTTCATTTATTTTTATAGTAAAAGCTTTTGTCATTCAGATTCTGAACTCATTTTCAAATGTGACACGCAGTTGTAGGTGGACGAATAGTTGACCGTAAAACATTGTTAAGATTTTTTCATTACAAATTCATCTTCCATTGCGAAAAACAGTTGTAGAGATAAGTGGAAGAACATGTTAAATGTCAAGCCTCGTCAGTTCTTTTATTTTGTTTACTATATTATATTGATGGCTTCTTTTTCATTCAGATTCTTAACTCAATTACAATTGCGACACGCAGTTGTAGAGATTGGTGGACGTATGATTGAGGGTAAAACATTGTTTTTCCATTCCAAATTCATCTTCCATTCCGAAAAACAATTGTAGAGATAAGTGGAAAAACATGTTAAATGTCAAGCCTCGTCAGTTCTTTTTTATTTTGTTTACCATATTATAGCAAAGGCTTCTTTTTCATTCAGATTCTGAACTCAATTTCAAATGGGACACGCAGTTGTAGAGATTGGTGGACATATAATTGAGATTCAAACATTGTTAAGTTTTTTCATTCCAAATTCATCTTCCATTGCGAAAAACAGTTGTAGAGATAAGTGGAAGAACATGCTAAATGTCAAGCTTCGTCAGTTCTTTCTATTTTGTTTACCATATTAAAGTTTCATTTGTTTTTATAGTAAAAGCTTTTGTCATTCAGATTCTGAACTCATTTTCAAATGTGACACGCAGTTGTAGGTGGACGAATAGTTCACCGTAAAACATTGTTAAGATTTTTTCATTCCAAATTCATCTTCCATTGCGAAAAACAGTTGTAGAGATAAATGGAAGAACATGTTAAATGTCAAGCTTGAGTTCTTTTCATTTGATTTACCATATTATAGTTTCATTTGTTTTTTATGGTAAATGATTTTTTCATTCAGATTCTGAACTAATCAGATGCGACACGCAGTTGTAGAGATTGGTGGAAGAATAGTAGAGTGTCAAACTTTATTNTTCCTTTATAAATAAGTATTTGTAAGCCATTAAAATTGCTTATTTATCCATATTTTATGTTCATTATCCGAATTATTGATCACTTTGAAAAAATGTTTTAAGCAACCAACTTATTCGACGTTAAATAATTCCAAAAAGACATAATATCTTCATTAATTTACTTATAATTCTTTACTTTTATTTGATTTGCCACATTATATGTAGTTTTGTTTCTTTTCATTGTTAAGATTTTTTAATTCCAAATTCATCTTCCATTCCGAGAAACAGTTGTAGAGATAAGTGGAAGAACATGTTAAATGTCAAACCTCGTCAGTTCTTTTATTTTGTTTACTATATTATATTGATGGCAACTTTTTCATTCAGATTCTAAACTCAATTACAATTGCGACACGCAGTTGTAGAGATTGGTGGATGAATAATTGAGGGTAAAACATTGTTTTTTCATTCCAAATTCATCTTCATTCCGAAAAACAATTGTAGAGATAAGTGGAAGAACATGTTAAATGTCAAGTCACGTCAGTTCTTTTTTATTTTGTTTACCATATTATAGCAAAGGCTTCTTTTTCATTCAGATTCTGAACTCAATTTCAAATGCGACACGCAGTTGTAGAGATTGGTGGACGTATAATTGAGATTCAAACATTGTTAAGTTTTTTCATTCCAAATTCATCTTCCATTGCGAAAAACAGTTGTAGAGATAAATGGAAGAATATGTTAAATGTCAAGCTTCGTGAGTTCTTTTCATTTGATTTACCATATTATAGTTTCATTTGTTTTTTATGGTAAAGGATTTTTTCATTCAGATTCTGAACTAATTTTCAGATGCGACACGCAGTTGTAGAGATTGGTGGAAGAATATGTTAAGAATCGAAATTCATAATATTTTTATTTATTTATTTCTTTTAGCGTTCATAGCTTAGTTTGTTTTCATGAACTTTTTTTCTCTGATTCTGAACTTATTTTTCAATGCAACACACGGTTAGAGAGAATGGAGGAGATGGGAGGATGAACATTTAAACTTAAGTATCTAACTTTACAATTCTTTTTATTTAGTTTACGGTATTATAGTTTCCTTTGTTTTGCAGTAAGGGGCTTCTTTTTTATTCCGAATCTGCATTTTCAAATGCA